GTCTGAATTTCTACCCAAGACACCTGCCTTAACAGTGAGTGTTGAATAATTTTCTGCCATATGCTGCAATAAATCAGGCAAGTATCTCGCAGCATCGTGTACAATACCCATTACATGGTGTGCATAGCCCTCTTCATCCTCTGCGAAGCAAACTTCAAAGAACTCATCCACCAGTTCATCCATTTCATGTGGAGGGAGGTCTTTAATTTCATCTTGATACAGATGCACAACGGAAGCACCACCATTCGGATAAACTTCGACTTCGAAGTATTGTCCATATTTAAGGTGTTCAAGTCCAGGCGGCACACGATTATTGTTGCGACTGGTCCGTGTAACATTTGGTTGGGGTGGTGGCGGTACATATTGTGTTCCAACACTGGTACGTCTTATTTTTGAGCGTTTGTAACACCTAGAGCATTCCCGACTACTACGTGACGAAGACGACGATGAATTGTTTGCAGAAGATGACGACGATGAGTTGTGTTTGTTAGACGACGAAGAAGATGAGGACTTGTGGTTGTGATGGTGATGTGCATGAGAGCTGCTACCAGATGAGGATCTTCTTGAAGATGTAGCTGACTTCGATGAAGATGACGAAGACGAAATAGTGGAAGGTCCCGGCACTGTGCCTCCACTACCAATGGAAACAGTGGAATGATTTTGATGTTGCGCACTTTGGTTGTGAATTGAAATATGTGATGTCGAGTCTGTATAATGATGGTTTGTGCTTATATTTGAATGCTGCATCGCCGTTGTTGCCACAAATGGTGTTTTGTGAGCTGGCGAGGGCATCATAAGACTTTCCATTTTCAGTTGATTTTCTGTTAGTTTTGGTAACGTCTCCACTTTTATAGGAATTTTTTGGCATAAATCTCGTTCCGATGTAGTTGTCTCTGAACTTAAATGTTTGACAATTGGTTCCGATTTTATTTCTATTGCACTTGTTAACTTAGAAGGAATTTCTTGCTTGATGTCCACAGCAGATTTCGTTATTTCATCGATCAGAACTTTTTCGTGCAGTTTATCTTCCATCTTTGTTACTGCAACGTCATTAAAATTTAGTTGTCGAGATACTTCATTTGGTGTTTTACATGTACTACTTTTGACTTCAGTAGATTGTTTTATTTCCTCTTTGATAGATATTGGAGAAGCATTTACAGCAATGGTAACAGCTGGAGTTTCCAATTTGATCGCTTTGAAGACATCTTTGGCATCCTCTTTTTTTAGGGCGACATTCCCCTCATTTTGATTGCTTATTTCTTCCTTTTCTTTTTCCATTTTTTCTTCTTTACTATTTGTTATGGGATAATCGCGTACATTGTTTTGGTTATCCTCTTTTAATGCATCACAAGATTTTGTTGTATCATGTGTATCACCAAGATTTGTTAATGGGAGGTCTTGTTCTATAGACTTGCCTTTCTCGCTCTCCGCTTCACCCATTATATTTAAGCAATTTAATTTGAATCCACTGCTCTGGCTACATCTGCTACTTTCTGAACTTCTCCTACGACTGCTAGCTTCTGATGTAGATGCCGAGGACAATAATGCAGCCTACATTTTTAAAAGTAACCAAAATTATTTGAAGTTTAAATTGTTAAAAACAATCTTACTTTATCCTTGTCCAACGACGGATCCTTAACTGGCGTTGATGTACTGCCGCTCGCACCATTTTTAGTCCTTGATTTATCACTATTATGATGTACATCCCTGTGATGGTCACTTGAAGAATGAGGTTTCGACTTTGATGAGCTGCTTCGTTCTGAAGAGCTTTTCGTAGATTTGTCCCTACTGTGGGAGCTATGTGATTTGTCTCGATCGCCTTTGTCTTTGGACTTTTTGTGACCGTCCCTTTCACGATCTCTGTCTCTGTCCCGTTCTCGTTCTCGATCCCGGTCTCTATCACGGTCACGATCACGATCCCGGTCTCTGTCTTTCTCTTTTTTCTTCTTCTTGTGTGATTTGTCTACAAATATTCAGTAAAAATCAAGAAAAGATTCATTAGTGACTTCTATATTTGGCTTACCTTTGTCACCGCTTCGTTCCTTGGACAAGGCAATGTTATCCTCAGATGCTGTCGTTAATGATTTTGCCGACTTTGAATCTATTACTTGTCCTTTGGAAATATGTGTCCCTTCTTTGTCTCGACTACCTTCGTTGGATCTCTTTTGAGAATTTGTATCACAACTCCCATCTAATCCACGAGTATCTTCTGCTTTTACAGCGACTTTGTCTTTACCACCGGCAACATTTTGAATATTTATTTTGGTATTCGTCGCTGACTCCGCTGCTTTTGTTTGTTGCTGCTTCTCCTCTTTTCCATCGCTCGTGGTCAGTTGTTGTTTTTGCTCTTGCTGCTGCGACGTAGACGACGTCACCTGAGTTTCCACAATATTCGACATTGCGCGCCACTTCTTCCCTACGACGTTTTCGTCGGCACGTAGTAAATGCGTCAAACGCACAACTAAACCTTTTGGGATGGCAAGCTTGTTGGTAAGTAAGTTGGTTATAAGTTATGTACCAAAGCAAGCTAGCAGCGAAAAGAATAAAAAATCGATTTATTTTGACCGCCTCTGTCTCAACGCGGCATATGTAGATATAGCGCGCAATTTATGACCGATATATTTTCTTTTTCTCTTTCACTGGAATTTTTCACCAAATCTTTGTTCCGTCCATTTGTTTTTGGCTAAATTAAATATTTCCACTTTTTTCTTTGTAATACATTCTTTTCTTCTGCGTCACAATTCTTTGTTTTTCATCACGTCCACAAATTCATCGCGTTTCATTCTATATATCGAAAGTTAATTGGTGTACATTTTAATTCTTATTTTATATATATATTTTTTCAATATTTGCAATTAATTAGTGAATTATTTTACTTTTTAATTTTTGCAATTCTATTTCAACGCGTCGTCCATTTTACTAACACTAGGGATCCATAAGTCGACTTTCGGCTAAAAATCCACAAAACGAAATTACCAATAGAAAAAAGACCAAAAAGGAATTAGCATATAGAATGGTGTTCAAAACGGAATCAACAGCTGAGAAAGATGCATAAAGCGGAATGAATAATATAGAACGAAGGTAAACTGGAATTGATTTGAATCCTCGTACGAGTACTAAATTAATTTTAAAGTGGGTTCACATACCAATCTTTATCCGTGTTTATTCCGAAAATTGAACACTTAAAATGGATAATCACGGTTTATCATTGATACCATGAAATCAAGGTTGGGCACTTAAACTAATCGATTTTAATTTATTCAATTTGCCTGACATAACATGCCAAATTAATTTGTACTTATGTGTGTTCTTTTCAATCATATGAAAAAAAATTCAAATTCAAATTCAAAAATATTCAAATTCAATTGTAATCAAAAACGTATTACAACGTATGTATGGACAAAATGTGCCCTTTAATAAACAACTTGTTGCATTTGTTTTGATATTAATTCTGACATTATAGTCCATATAGGAGCCCTTTTACTTGCAAATTTTCCAACTTAGTCTACCTTCTCTTCATTGTACCATGGTTTAATCCATGGTACAATGAAGAGAAGGTAGGTCAACTTTGAAAAAATTGCAAATATAGAGGTTTACCTGTTTGGCTTGTAATGTCAGAATTAGTATCAAAACAATAAAAAATCAAACAACTTGTTGCATTCATTTTGAATAAATAATTGAAAAACGCGATAACTGAATGAAAGGTCAACACTTCTTTTCAAAATCATGTACTATATATCTCTAAAGGATTATTTCGCTACAAAAACTCTAGATTTTGTCGATGCATGCGTGGAAATAAACATTTTGAAAACACCCGAATTTGAATGTTTTCTGAACATTTTTTTGTTATTGAACAGAAAACACATACATAAACAAATAAAGATGACATATTAAGCCAAGAAAATAAAAAAAATGAAATCATATGGTATCATAGCCTTACCTTGATATCATTGTAACATGAGTTGTGTTCCAGAACCTACAAATTAGTACTAATTAGTACTAATTCTGCTACAACGCGTTCCCGTACTGCAAAAACTAGCAAAACTTGCAGCTCTCTCGAGAAAAAAATGGCGCTGAGGGGTGCACATTTCTGCTTGTTTATGCTACATGAATTTGGCCGAGCAGAAATGTGCAAATTGTGAATTTGACATTTAATTGGCAGGGCTAACAAGGTTGAAAAATGTATTGATACATTTCAATGTTCCCGCGTCATAACAAAAATAAAGAAATGATCAACTTAAAAACTAAAGGAAAAACTAATATTTGTAGTGCAAAAAAACAAAAAGAGAAAATATGGAGCACTTTTGGATGATTCCAGTAGTGAAGTGGACTGGCTGAATGATGAATCAGATTATTAATTATTATTATAGATTATTAATTTTAACGTATCGTTTTCAATACTAAATTTTTTAAATTTTGGCGTCCGTTTCAGTAAGGTTTCACGAGTCCGATTTGGACTATTTACTCTAGAAATTTGAATTTTGACATTTTATCGCATTTCTGCTAATTTTCCGTTCCCTTATTTTTTGAGCACACCTAATTGAGAATGACATTTCGAACTGTTCTCTCTTCTGCTAGTTTTACTACTAAAAAAGTACTGGAACACAACTATGGTTTAATCCAGATAAAAATGTTGTATGTAAATGTGCTAAGGTATTGACTGTTTAAGTTCTAAATATGTGCTGTTTCATCGAAACGGGTACCTTAATAATGGGAATTGAGTATGCATGTAGCTGCGTGGCAAAATCAATAGGTAATCCGTGGCAAAATCAATAGGTAAAATAGCAAACAGGAATTGACATTTTGTCAGATTTTTAAAAAGTGGTGTTACACCCTATTATTACGCCATGCTGCTACTCTTTTGTTGGCGAAATATTGCGTTTCTAGAACCCTTCAGATAGATTTTTTCGATCTCCTAGAGCCCTTCAGACGGAAGTTTTCGATCTTCTAGAGTGAAATGTGAGTAGTTGTGAATTTGATGCGATTTGTTGAGATAGTTGATTAAAAATAATGTGCTACACCATTAAATTAGTATGTGCGCTTTGTCTGATGATAATAGTTCCCAACGAGAGCAAAGAAATTCTGGGAATATTTCCGCATTTTGGATACAGCCATTTTAAAGTTTTCTATCCGTTACTGCGCAACTTAGCCGAAAGGGGTCACAATGTAACGGTTATCACACACATTAAAAGTCCTGATCCACATTTGGCGACATACGAGGAGCTTCTTTTGGAACAAATGGAAGTTGTTAATGTGGTTCCCCTGACCGAGTGGATGCCGAGAACATGGAAAGGTCTAATTGACGAATATGTGGGTTTGCATGTAGAGGGTCAGGAATCGTGTGAGCGTCTCTATGAAAGTGGCTACATACAACAAGTACTCCAGCGTCACGAAAGGAAACCATATGACATAGTTATTACGGAATACTTTAATTCAGACTGTCAATTGGTAGTTCCCTACCTATTGAAAACGCCAATTATTGGCCTGAGTAGTTGCCTCTTGATGCCCTGGTACTATGATCGCATACTCTTGCCAGATATTCCATCATTCGTTCAATCTGAATTTATTGGATTTGCTACACCTCTAAATTGGCAAGAGAGACTAACAAACTTTTTACAAGCAAAAGTCTTATCGCTTCTCTATCGGTAAGTATTGTTTTGAAAATAACAAATTAATATTAATTAAATACTTTTATTCCAGCTATCACACCAACCGTCTTGACAATGAATTAATACGTCATAACCTGAATGTCACGGTTGATGTCAATAACATTGCACAACAACAGACTGCTCTTGTATTTGGTAATCAACATTATTCATTGGCTGGTATACGTCCTCATACCGAGCAATTTGTTGAAATTGGCGGCATTCACATCCAGGAAGACAAAGTCCACGAGAAATTATCACCTACAATTGAGGAGTTTTTAGACAAGTCTAATGAAAAAAGTGTCCTCTTTATTAGTTGGGGTTCCATGATTCGCGCTTCTACTATGGAAGCAACGAAACTGAACACCATACTTTCCGCTTTGGAGAAAAGTAAAATTAGGGTCGTTTGGAAATGGGAAACCGATGACGTTCCAATAAAAAATGAAAATTTTCTTTTTGTCAAATGGGCACCACAACTTTCGTTACTATGTAAGTATGACATCGATTATAAATTGTACATTAGTTACCCTGATGAGAGATATTTATTACATGAATAGGTAGAGTCATCGGCAAATTTTACAACTCAAAAGTGAATTTTGAATGTCAGAAAATGTCTGGCTATTAAGTATACCAGAAAAGAATAGGCTTTGTTCGGCACGATCTTTAGCAGAAGGCATCAGTAAAATGTTTTTAGAAATGCATCATTTATTCACCATTCTTCATTAACGTTTTTAAAGATTTATTTCACTTTATTTTATTATTTCTTTGAAAATAACGTTATTCTCATTGGGAATTATACAATTCGTCAGGTATTCAATAATCAGTTGTTTTTTTGTAATCAAACAAATTTTTTAGTTTTTTAAACCACTAAAACTAAAAACAACTCTTAAAGCTAACTCAAGCTAACAAGAAATAGTAATTAGTAAACCAATAATTTAGGTTAAGTGTTAGATCCGTCTTAAAAAATGTGTATGCATGTTGTGTCTGGAACAGGTTAGTTTAATGTTCTGTCCTTAAAAGAGAACAATTCGTCTTTTCTCTTAGCAAATCGTTACTTAGTAAATTTTATTGAAAAAGATAACGCACAGAGTTTTTTTTATATTCTGAAACTTTCAATGATTTTCATATAAATTAACATTTTTCCAGGCCATCCTAAAATAAATCTGTTTTGGGGTCATGGAGGACTTCTAGGAACTACAGAAGCTGTCTATTGTGGCAAACCAATGATCTTAACCCCAATTTATGGTGACCAATTTGTTAATGCCTTTGCTGTACAAAATCGCAAAATAGGAATAATTTTAAATTTTGAGGACATCAATGAAAAGAATTTGGACAATGTCTTAAAGGAAATGCTAAAAAACACAAGGTACGTCAATACTCTTATTGTTTAAAAAGTGGTAATGAACATGTTATTTTTGCAGATATGAAAGAAACGCCAAAGGACTATCCAACATATTTCGTAATCGTCCGAAAAAACCCCTGGAAACGGCGACTTGGTGGGTTGAACATATATTGGAACATCAACAAGCACGTGAAGTTTTGCATTCACATGCTGTACATTTGAATTGGTTTATATACTACTCGTTAGACTCGATTTGTATTATACTGGCAGCGCTTTTTGCACTGTTATTATTTTTACGATATGTTATAAAAAGTACTCTGCAGTCATGCATAAAAAAAGGAAACAAGTTGAAGAGCCAATAGTTTAAGCACTTTTAAACTAACTTTTAAAATAACATATCAATGTAAGAGCTCTCTATTGACGACATGACAATGCCAACGAAAATGTTACAACTTCATCAGTGAAATGTACTTAAAAGTGATGTAATGTGCCTTCTATACAATAGTTGCAATAGTTTTCAAATATAAGATAGTTTTATTGTACATAAATATGATTTAAAATAACTTTTTTTTTAATGAAATGTCTTTTATGCGTAGATCTTAAATTGCAACACATTTAAAGTTACATTGTAATAGTTCTGATAAAGTTTGTAAGCATCGTCAATATCAGTGTTTTGAATGTTCTTATAACTGGCATTGAGTAATGAAAGTTCCTTATCATAAAGTTATTTTTTGTCCAGCGCTTACGTGTTAACGAAGTATGCCTAATGTATGTCTTGACCAAGGCCTATCTATATAAGGTAGGATTTGACTTTCTTTGAATTTAATTATGTATTTTGTACGGGGTTACTGGTCAAACTTATGAAGGCCTTCGTCCTGGCCTATTTTTTACTGTCTACGTCTTATAATATTTACTATTGAATTTCCTATTACTTAAGGAACTGGTAATAACAAAAAAATTAAATTCTGATACACAGTGCGTCGTTCTACATCTAATTTGACAATTTGATAAGAACATCCAACACTTTTATTCTTGTAGGATTGAGACTTTAAGAATGAAATTTTAAAATTCACATTTTTGAACTCAAATAAACATAAAAGAAAAAATAACTTACTATAAAAATTGTCAAATCATGTTATGTCTAACTTAACTTTGCATAACTTTTTTAGACTAGCAGTGAGTCACATAACTTTCTAGCTTGCCTCATTTCTCCTTGAACACTAGCATTGTCATTGCATGAATGTCATTAACAATTTTTTATTGATCAGTATTTGTAGGAGTAAAATTGTAATGAATTTTTCTAAACATTTGATTTTGTTTTGTTCTTTTTAAAATCAACAATATAAAATAAATATACAGTAGAACCTTAATAGCTCATTCCATCCTTATTCAAATTAAATTAATAATTGAATCTTTAGTTTTGTTGCTATCAATTAAAAAAATCTACAATTTGCAACAATTAGCCGATACCATGCTGATTCTAATTGTTGAGATTCTACTGTAAATAACAGGTTTAAGTCATTAGCAAAAAACTCCATATAAAAATACCCACCTAGAGCGCCAGATGTTTATTCGTTTTATAAATGAATTGTTTTGCTCTGGCCAACAATTTCAAGTTATTCATATTAAAAACTTTATGAGTATAAATAGGTACAATAATTTATTAATTTTTATGATATAAATACATATACATATTTGCGAAATATTTCTCTGCCAAATTAAACTTTTTACTCGTCATACTCTTCATCTTCCAAATCATCTGTGGCCGTTGGATATTTTAGTTCTTTTTGTGGTGGATTGATGTTAAAAGTCTTTACATTTGCTCGGGCCGTACCATTGTTGGCGCTGGCATTATCCCTATACGAGGGTGCTGGAGAACTTTTGATTGTGAATTTTGGCGCTGTAGACTTCGATGTATTGACGGCAGTATTTCCTCTGCTGTTAAAATTGGACGACCTTGCATTGGAATTTGTATTGGAGTTGGGATTATTTTCCGAACGTTCTCTTTTGAGTGGAACAATACTGTTGCTTTGTTCATAGCCCGCCGAACAGTAGTCATTACATTCGTCCATTGTTTTAAAATTATTATCATTGCCGGCACATCCGCCCCAATAGAACATGGTACATTTCATGCGTCGAATATCGAAGTAGTAGCGTTGTAATTTGGCACGACAATAACCGAAATCCATGGGTTGTAGACAAGTTTCTGGAAGACCTTGGAAACAAAATCAAAAATGTATTATGTCACGAAAATATTTATAACGAAATTAAATCACAATATTGCATTTTTGGGATCCTGGATCAGTTTAGGCAAATTAGAAAATTAAAGAATACAAAATACATCACTTTAAAATCAAATAATTATGCCAAAATTATTTCGTTATATTAAAAAAAAACTTCAAATTTGCCACATTATTCGTTTGAGATTGCTTACCTTCATAACGATCGGGTCCATATAGTCCCACAGCACCTTGCACAAAGTTGTTCTGTGAGAAATTGACCATAAATAACAAAAGAACATGGAGCAAAGAGGCTCTAGTTAAAATTTCCATTTTTTCCGAAAAAGCGTAGATGTTTTAAGTAATGGATAAATTCACTTGCGCCCAAGTGATGGATTGCGCTTGGTGGCGTTGCAATTGAAAACACTTTTGCTTAATTGTACGTCTAACAACTTAATACTGGGCTAATGTTGTTGCCTGATAAGTGAAACCTGCAGTTTTCACTGTTTGCGTGGTGATGCTGATGCTGTTGGTGGTCAGTCAATGTTCGAATGAATGGCTGCCAAGCGATTTAATATTACTCACAAAAAAAACTTTATGGACAACTCGATTTTGTCTTTGGCGAGGTGGTGTTGGTAGTGGCGGTGCCGGACACGGGGTATTTTATAAATGCTTTCCTCTGAGGGGCACTGAAGTAGAACTGAATGACTGACTGATGTTATTGATAATGGAAATTAAATGCAGATCTTGGCAAAAACGTTGCTAGAGAAATAAATAGAAGAAGATACACGAAATTTGCAATTTTTAATTGTTCCGCTTACAAAAGAAATAATCGTTTCTGACTGGGCCAACGTTTGCCGGCGCTTCTGCGCGTTAATTCAAAAATTCAGATTTTCAAAAATACCTAATGTCTGTGTTTAGATGCTTGATTGCGTTTTGGCACTTGCGATCGCTTGAAGAATTCAGAATGAACTGAAACTTGGCTATTCAATTTTGGAATTTGTAATGTAAAGAAAAAATTGTTGTTGAAATGAAATGCGAATTTATAAACACAAAAATTCTGCACTACTCCAATATACCTTGTTTTTGTATTTTTTTCTTCATCGCTAATGGTGTTGTTGTTGTTGTTGTTGTGAGAGTATGACTATACATATGACTGTCTGCTGCCGTTTAATCTGATATAAACAACAATCTTTAAAGTCCCTGTTGATGTTGTTGTTATTGTTGTATGGGTGTTCACTTGTTGCTGCTTTGTCTGCCTGTCTATCTGTCTGACGGCCTGTCTTGCTTACTTTGGCTGTAGTGGCAAGCATGCGGCGTATTTAAAACCAGTCCTCTTTGAGTCGATCTTTTTTATTTTGCTCTGAGTAATGCTTCTCACCTTCATTGGGTTTTTAATAAAAATAATTTTCTATGAAACGCACTTAGGGATGTCAATCAGAGATGATTGAGTTGGATCGTAAGCCATTCTTTCAAGGTGTCGGGTGTCAGGTGACATTGTACAGATCAAATTTAGCGCGTTTGCCAATAATCGGTTCTATTTAGGTAGATAAATATGCCTTCAGATTTGTAGGTTATAATGTACATACGAATATTTGTGGATCTACGTGAAAATATTTGTCCCAACAACACCGAATAGGTACATTTTTCATATCCCTCTGCTTTTTGATGTGTTTCGATTTTTTTTAATAAGTTGGGGGTGTTTTACCTTTGATTTTCGTTTTGCAACGCCTGATGTATTACTCTGACATCCTATAAAGTATGTACCCTTGATCAACATAGCTCGTTTAAACGATTTCATTCTGTACATTAAATCTATCGATATTATATACGGGAGCTACATCAAAATCTGAACCGATTTCAATATTATTTCGAAAATTTATTTTTGTATCAAATTCCGTAATTTAATCCGAATTGCATTAGAATCGGACATATATATCGCGGTGCATCAAATAAACGAAACCGATCGAAAATATTTATACAGGGTGAGATGAAAAAACTGCAACCAAGCTCAGACTGCTGTCATTTCCTCGTCCGACAGCTGTTAAAATTTTGTCCAGTGGCGGCTCATCATATTGTTTACAAGCGTACAAAAGCATTTTGGTGAGAATTTTCCAGAAAAAAGTTATTCGTTATGGAATTTAAGGGTGATAGTGTGATTTCTTTATATTTGGCTGGAAAACCACAAGCGGCTATCGTTAGAGCACTCCAGCATTTAAATGTGAATAAATCTTTTGTGTCTCGTACCATCGCTCGTTACCGTGATACTGGTAGCGTAGCCTGACGTCAAGGAAGTGGACAGAAGAAAACAGCAACATCAGCAGAAATGGTTCGAAAAGTAAAGAAGCGACTTGATAGAAATCCGCGTCGCAGTGACCAAAAAATGGCTCGTGAGCTGAATATATCGCAATATTCCATTCGGCCAATATTGAAAAATGAGCTAGGGGTATAGCCATTGAAATTCCAAAAAGTGCAAGAACTTACACCGCAAAAGAAAGAAAATAGACTCAAAAGAGCTACAGAGTTGCTTCGCTTGGCCGAAAGTGGTGAGCTTCCGAATTTGGGTTTCTCCGATGAGAAAACAATCGTTGTCCAGCAGTTTGTAAACAAACAAAATGATCTTGTTTACTTGCCAAAGAGGTCAGCTGAAAATGTGCACCTTCGATTGGCCACCCGAACTCAAGCGCCGACCATGGTGATGGTGTGGGCCGCCATAACAGCCGATGGTCGCTCTCAGCTCGTATTAATCAGCCGTGGCATCAGAATAAATGCCGAATATTATCGCGAAAATATTCTGGAGGGTGTATTAAAGACTTGGGCACGCAAACATTTTGGCCGCAGACCTTGGACATTCCAACAGAACTCAGCACCATCGCACTCAGCACGCAACACCCAAGAATGGTTACAAAATGAGGTCCCTCGCTTTATTTTCAGTCTAGAGTATTTTGAAAAGCAATGTTGACACTAAAAAATACCAAAGTGTCAAACTCAAGCAAGCGCTAAACTAATTCTAAAATTTGATGCTATTTCCGATATTTTTGCTTTCATTCAATAAAATTTAAAAAAAAATGTAAAAATCTCACCCTGTACATATCGTGTTTGGTGCATCAAATGCATGAAATCGGCCGAAAATATATGTGGAAGCTACATCCAAATCTGAACCGATATCAATTTGTTCCAAACTCCGTTACACATTCCAAATTTGGAGAGTGTATCTGTAATCAATCAATAGATGCATATAAAATCTAAATTTTTTTGATGCAATATCTCCGGTTCCAAGTGGGATTTCAAAAATTTATATAGCCTATGTTACTTTCAGGCGATGTTGTAGCATCCTTGGGAATTTTCAAAAAAAATGTGCAGTAGTTTTCGAATCCATAAATTACAAACAAACATACAAACATTTTCCCATTCTATAGATATAGAAGATAGATATTATTGTATTATGTTCAAGACTGATTACTTTTTAAACAATTTAAATAGCCACAGTATTCTAAAATAAACCCCAACACTTCAGACATCAAAATTTGCATACCTAATTCAAGTATTTTCCTCATGCCGTTCTTGAAATGTGCCGGTTGCGTTTCGAGTGTTTTCGATGAAGCGAAAAAACGTAATTAATAACCGAAAACTAAATGTTCTGCAAGTGTGTGTATATGCTCTACATTGAAATTTTCATTGGATATTATTGGTTACATACAGTGTGAGCATGAATTAATTACGATTCCGCCAAGTGCGTTTAGTTTATTTGCATTTACAACAACAACAGCAGCAATGGATAACAAAACTGTTAGAATTATAAGAAATTCCAATAGAAATATTGTCAGTTATTTGTTAATAGAGTTGCGCGTGAATGTTTGACAAATCAAGTACATTTGCGATCCCACTCATGCGCCATGGCTATTTATTTATTTATTTATTTTTTTTCGAGAAAGTTATCTCTTCCATAGTAAGTATTTCATATCGATAGACAAATTGCCATATATACGAGTATATTCATGTAGTATATTGACTATAAAAAAATGATCCGCAAGTTTTCAATATTATTTGAAGCATATACATAGACCGTTTGTAAAAATTATTTGAATTCGGTGTTGAGTTGAATATTATTTTATGTTAACTGTTATATTTAATGCTTTGATAAATTATAT